ATATATATATATATATATATATATATATATATTCCACAATATGACTTCATATTTTACAATTGCAACTTAATTTCTTGTAATAACTTAATTTCTCACAATTGACATATTATTTCTCATAATTGCATCTTTATACACTACTGTTTAAAGGTTTGGGGATAAGATTTTAATGTTTTTTGAAAGAAGTCTTATATGCTTACCAAGATTGCATTTATTTGATTAAAAAAGTAAAATATTGTAAAATATTATTACAATTTTAAATAGCAGTTTTCTGTTTAATGTATTTTAAAATGTATTTCATTCCTGTGATAGAAAAGCTGAATTTTTTAGCAGCCATAACTTCTATCTTCATTGTCACTTGATGCTTCAGAAATCATTATAATATGCTGATTTGGTGCTCATGATTTTTTTTTTTTATTAATTATCACAAGTTAAAAAAGTTGTGCCACATTTTTTTTATAAAAGGTGATACATTTTTTCCAAGATTATGTCATTAATAGAAAGTTAAAAAGAACAGCATTTATATAAAATAAAAAATGTAAAAGTATTGACGTTTTTATTATCACTTTGGGTCAATTTAATGCATCGTTGCTGAATAAAAGTATTAATTTTGTTCAAAAAAATTCTTACTGACCCCAAACTTTTGAAGGGTAGTGTATCTCACAGTGTGATATGTCACATTCCAACTTATTTCCAACCATATTTTTCAGAAATAACATTGTTTTTGACACTAGGAATCCATGAATAATAATGAGATCATTTTTCTTTCTAGAATCCATAAACTGATACTGATGTAATGATATTCAATAGCTTAAAATGCTTCTGCAGACCACTATGAAAATCAAAATTGCAATGAGAAAAAACAGTTGCTTTCATGAACCCTCCAGCTGCGCAGCACCAATGTGTCTAATGTTTAATAAATGGACACATCATGCAGACGAATTAATGAATAAACAGAGGTTTATTACTAGACACAAACCCAGCTGACAGCCCCTGCTTTCCCCTAAGTGTCTTTGTTTATGAGTGTCAACTATCTGTCACATGTATTTGTCATCCTGTGAGACCTGTCTGTCCTCTTCCCTTCTACCCATCTGTTACGTGTTCTAGTCTGTCTCATCTGCCCAGGTTTCTTCTGAAGCCACCTTACAGGTGAGAGTTTTTTGCCTACAGGATCTCCAATCTTCTAAAAAGTGCTATGGGCTACTGATATTTTTGTAATAAAACATGCTTTAAAGGTTTTTTTAAAGCCATTATTCAAGCTTAAAACCTTAGCAAACAGAGTGTGCGGTTCATCCATATTCTGTGGAGGCTGTTTGGGGATCCCACAGGAAGTACTACTGCAGTGGGAGATAAGCTTTGCTTTGATTCTTGTGAAACTGGGCACTCTTTTGCTTGGACATTTGTTTTTTTTAGCTTCTCTTCAGGCACTCTTTCATAGCAGCCTGTAAAGCTTCTTTTCCCATCATGCCTTGAAGCGAGAGCCCTGTGCAGTCTATAGACTAACTCTATACCCGCTTGCTTGTATGCCTGAAGTGCCATTATTGACAAAAAGCCTCACAAAGCATGAAGATCCTGCAGCCTATTTAACACGGGATAACACCATCCGCCAATGGCTGGGCCAAATGAACTTTAGCCCTGCAGTCTGGATTAGACTTGAGCCTGGCAACCAGTGGACTGCTGATGGGGTCTTTTCTTTTGTTGACAAGTTTTACAGGGCACCTAGTCTCAATTCACCCCTTTCTAGTGCACAAAGACACAGCAAATCAGGGCATGAACATGTCACAGAGAAAAAAACAAAACATATAAAACACATTTCTTCTGGAATATGTAATATTTGTTTGCTGTGTCTCTTTGGGGAAGACCGGTGCTCAGTGTCTGTTATAATTGGCTGTCACCAGTATTATCTCTACATTGCCATTTCCTTTTTTCTGTGTGAATGTTTACATTTATGCTTCCTGTTTGAGGTTCAGACCATTGTAGAAAAATTAGGCTTCATGAAAGTTAACTTATATTTGGAGACAGATACAATATTGCAAGCTATATATATGTATGTGTGTGTGTGTGTGTACAAACATACACGTTGCAGTATTAATGTTATTTTTTTTAAAGAAGTGAATACTTTTATTCCAAAACACATTACATTGTTTAATAGTGACAATAAATGCATTTATAATGTTACATATTCTGTTTTAAATTAGTGTTTTGTTATTTTGAACTTTTTATTTATCAAATAATCCTGAAAAAAATTATACGGTTTCCACAAACATATTAAGCAGCACATCTGTTTTCAACATTGATAATAATAAGAAATATTTCTTGATCACGAAAATCAGCATATTAGAATTATTTCTGAAGGATAATGTGATGCTAAATACTGGAGTAATGGCATCTGAAAATGTAGCTTTGGCATCACAGGAATACAGTTTTAAATTGTAATAATATTTCTCAGTGTTATTGTTTTTGCTGTATTTTTGATCAAATAAATGCAGCACCAAAGTTTTGAAACTTTTTCTTTAAAAATCTGAAATAAATGTTAATACTAATTCAAGCAGGATCTTTAATTAATCTAACATTGTGTGCATCATATTCAAAAAGCAAATGTCATATTTTCCCATTTGCTATGTTTTACACGAGGAGTATTTTAACATTATCAAGTGTTGTTGCTATTTTCTTTTGCCTTTTCTTGTGAGGGACAAATTGATATTAATATCTTGCCTTTTATCATTCATAGCACTGTGAAAAGAACAAGTTCATCTGAGCAAGTTGGCCCCAACAACAGGAAAGACAGTGGTGTGGACTCCAAAAGCAATCGCACACGCGCTGGTTCCACAGGGAGCAACTCCAGTGGCAAGAAAGTCACAGAGAAGTATGTAAATTAGTATGTATATATGCTTTTATGCCCATGTGATTGACTGAATAAGAGCAGCTCATACACTCAAACGTTACACAAGCACAATTAGATGACTTTCTTCCCTTCTCACTTCCTGCAGCAAACAGAAGGAGCCTGTTTTCAGCGCAGGTAAGAGTCAGGTGTCCTGTTCCCGTGTGATAGAGTATGTGTCTCTGAACCAAAACTGGATCATTCACAAGCAATGGTTATACTGTCATTGTTCTTTTTGACCAGACTTTCCAGAAAGTACAGACTCTTGCCAAATACATGTCCTCAAATTAAATAGCAGGCCACCCAGACGTCCTTTTTGTTTAGCAGCAGTGCAGCTCAATTAGAAGGTGGACAGATGTTACAGTGGGGCTGTGGTGAATTAAGGGAAACTCATTCAAGAAAAAAGCGATTTTGGAGATTTCTGCTTGTGTGATCTCCAGTCATGGCTCATGGAAGTACAATCTTTGTTTCAGTTCATTTCACCATTAAATTACCTGCTATTCTTTTGTCAGTAACACGTCATCTCATACCAGAAACATTTCCTCTTTTCATTTTTGTGTTTATTTAATTTAACTTATGTTCTGTTTAAATTGATCATTTTTATGCATTTGGTTGAAAAGCAAATACATTCTGGTAGTAGAAAATGATCAGAATTAATATTTACTGTTATATAAGTATAGTTATTAAGCAAAAAAACAGCAGAATTATGTTAATTACTCTCTCAGTAGCGAGAACAAGGTCTTTCAAAGTAAAAAAGCTTGACATTTTCAAGGTCTTACAGGCATTTATAGCCATTGTGTTTATCTATTATGCATCAGTTATGGTTAGAAGCTGTGCAGATCGTTTTTTTGAAAGAGATACAAAGGAAATCAGCAGCAGTTCTTGGGAACGTCAGAACAAATTTGATTTGGTGTCGGTGTCAAAGCAGAGCGTTCAGTGTGTGCAGCCATATGCAGAATAAAACAAGCTGTTCTGCCTGAAGGCGACATTTGCATGTTCCTTACTGTATATGTGACCCAGTTACTGTATTTAACTGTGCCCAAAACTCTGATTAATTGAGGTCATAAAGACAGTAATTCCAGATGTTAAATATACAGTACACCAAATTAACCAGTGGATTTGTTAAATAGAGCACTTGGCGAATGAAACGACTATCCTGGAGGAGCTTGTAGAGTAATTACCCAGACATGGCGAGCTGGGATCTTATGAACAGGGATCTGTCTTTCCATCAGCCGTTTTCTGCCATCTTACGTGATTGTCTCTGTCTCTGTACGTTCACAAAGGGATGCGACGTGTGACACACTGCAAAGGTAGGCACTGTTTGTCAACTGTCCCTTGCGTGAGCAGCTCTGTGGACACAACTTGATTCCCGAAGCCAGAGGGAAGTCAACAATTACAGATTGAGGGCAATTATGACTCCTTGCTTAAAAATGCAAAGACAGCTGTTAGAGTTGAGAATCATTATTTATGAACTGCCAGATACTTTATGAAGCCATTTTTCTTTAAAGACCCTTATTAAACAGATTATTCTTTCTTTTTTCTTTTTTTAAATTTTTTTACTTGTTTTTGTATTTGGGACATATTTGATACAACAGGAAATGACATCATAGTGGGGATCCCTGCAGACTCTCATGACTTAGTCAAGGTTAATAAATCGCATAAAATATCAGATAATTTGACCTTTATATTACAAGGGAAGGTTAACATCGGATGTAAAAAATCATGTTGTGGGACTCTATGAAAAATAATGATATTATAACAAAATGTACTAGAATTAAAATAAACATTAACTAAAATAAAATATAGGCATATAAAACATAATATTTTAATATTAAATAAAATTAGTTAATATTTTAACTTGATGTATTAGAGTCTTTTTTTTTTATCCATATGAAACCAACGTCAACAGAGTACATTCCTAAGAATTGGCGTCTGTGTTTTAAACTAGACTTTTAAATGATTTTTGCCACCAAACTTTGATTTTATTGGGTCTTAAGAGATTTCGTACTCCTTTTTATTATGGTTGTTTCTGCTGTAAGAAGCACATAATGCCCCTTTATACAGTTTATTCTAGCGATTCCAGATGGGACAGTAATCTAGCAGACATAACTCTGGATCATAGCTCTGGATCATAAATCACAGCTCTGGCTTCATATTATGGAATCAGCACACACAGAGCTGTCTTGCGTAAGGGTTTGGGTTGATTAGACAAATGTGTGTGTGATAGAAGTTCCCACCCTTCCTCCAGAAATGCTACCCTTCCCAATAAACTAATGCACACTCTCTGTAGCACCCTTCTGAGTGATACCAACGTGTGGTTGATTGCAGTGGTGCTAAAACACAGGCTGTTAACTCTTGAGTGATGCTGCTCTGACAGCTCCTGGGTGTTTTGCTCACTGCTCATGGCACTTGTTTTTCACATGCACCATGGGAACCCAACACTCTCCTGCAGTCACACAGCAACACACTGAACGGCTTTTATTCCAGTAATTTATTGCTGCTTTTTTCTCCACGTACACGTGTTTGTTCTTTCAGTCCCGTAAAGGGCATTTATCATCCTGTGTCAACCAGCTTTTCTGTTATTTCTCTGAAACTGGAATTGGGTGTTTATCATAAATCTGAGGTTAAATGTCATGCTGGTTTGTGTGCAGTGTGTCACTGTTAGTGGAAATTATTTTCCCAAAACTGTTGTCTTCAGTGTTGATGCAACACTCAGTGAATGACTCACTATGCCCACTATGTTTTATAGTCACAAAATACTTGTAAGACAAGCAAATTAAAAAACCAAACCTCACTTGGGTGGTTGGAGTAATCTTTCTTCAGAATACATTTTATCAGTTTATTTCCAGTATTCATGGTTTTCCTGGATCAAGATAACATTCAGTTTCCCATGCGCCTCTCCTTCCCATCAGCACTGCAAAAATCTTTTTCATAAGCAGCATTTTTGGCTTGTTTTCCAGAAAGAAATTAAATATATTTAAAAAAAGATTAAAAAAAAAAAATTAATGAATAAAAGTAAACTATTAATGTCCTCTCTCTTTTTTTTTTTTTTTGGAAAATACATTTTGAATTATTTTTTAATTTGATTTCTTAGTGTGTTTTTATAAATTATTTTTCCTCCTAGAAGGAAAAAAACTATTTGCCAGAATAGTAAGAAACACAATTTATTTCAAGATATATTCTCTGAAAATGTTCCCTATATTTTCTTCTCAAGTAAATTGTTGTTGCTTTCGGATATGTTACTGCAAATTAAGAAAAATACAAATTAAGAAAAAGATAATTTTGCAGTGTAGTTTCTTAGTTTTGTGGACGCCTTGTCTTCTTGTTATTATGGTGGTATCTTAAGCTATTGGACAATATCTGATCATGATTATACTTCATCCCACCTCTCCACCCTCTCCCGCACCCGCCTTGTCCAATTTGACCACTTCACCTATAGTAACCGTGCAGATCTACCTGCACCGGCCGTCAAAAAGGACCGGATCCGCTGAGCCCCCCAAATCCGCATCAGCCGTGCCCTCGCAGTCCACCAACACGCCATCAGATGCCAACGTTTTGTCTGACAGAGCGGCCCGGCTCGGAAGCCGAAAGGTCCCTCCGTTTACCCTTCCTCTGAGGAAGTGTACTTCTCAGTTAGTCCACTCGCCCCTAGATATGCCCTCTTACAGGAGTCCAATCAAATCTCCCAGCCAGTATTTTCAAATCTGTTACTAATCAAAACAGCTGTAATCTTAAACGTAGTCAGGTGGAGTCTTTTGTTCTGTTCTGTTGTGTTTTGTTCTTTTTGTTTTGATTGTGTCTCTTTGAGTTAGTTTTGATTCATGTTGTGTATATGTTGATCTGTGTTCACACTTTTGTCTTTTTGTTTGTTTTGTTTGTGTGTGCATTTTATAAACGGTACATTTCCTTTTCCACTGTGTTTGCATGCATGCCTATCTGTGATTTTATTTTGTGTCTATTACTAATTGATCAAACCATCAAATTGCTGCATTCACATGCTTCTGCATTTAACTTTGCTTTGTTTGTCTTTACTTTTAAATTGAGTGTATTTCAAATACTGTACGTAATAAAATGCATTAAAGCATTTCCTTTAAATCTCACTGATCTATTGAATTATTTTCAGAACATAATATATATTCTTCTAAACATTGTTGCATTTCCTTCTAATCTTCCTTTTGATATAAAAGCATTTCATTTTGTCTTGGATTAACATTTAATCACATTTTAAAATATACTAACATTCAAAAATTTGGGATCAGTAAGATTATTTCATGTTATAAGTCTCTTAAGCTTACATTTATTTAATCAAAAATACAGTGAAAATAGTATTATTGTGAAATATTAATGCAATATAAAATAACTATTGTGATATATTGTAAAAAGTAATTTATTCATGTGATGCAAAGCTGAATTTTCAGCATCATTACTAATTTGCTGCTCAAAAAACATTTCTACTTATTGTCAATGCTGTTAACAGTTGTGCAATGAATATTTTTGTGCAAACCATGATACATTTTTTAGCGTTCTTTGATAAATTGAAAGTTCGAAAGAACAGCATTTATTCTAAATAGATTTTTGTCACTTTTGATGTTCATTGCTGAATAAAAGTATTCATTTATTTCACAAAAAATAAACAGGTAAATAAAATAAATTGTACTGACCCCAAATTTTTGTCTGATTTAACATTGTTTTACTCAAAATTTGATGACATTAACCCCAACAGATGTCACAGCGATCCTTCACTGACCCATGCATTTTCTTGCTCTAAACATCTGCGTTGCTTTTTCTAGATGAAGGGTATGTCAAAATGTATTTGAAGGGACGACCCATCACCATGTACATGCCCAAAGACCTGGTGGACACATACTGCCTGGAAGCAAAGGCTGACTTGCCTCCTAAAAAACTGAAGCTAGACTGGGTGTATCCTTTGCGAAATAGAAATGGAGCTGCATTTCAATTGATTCTTGTATTGAACGCTCATTGCTGTAAGATTGAATTAACTGTTGATTTATTATTACACAGAAAATGAGCTGGTAAAAATGTCATGAGCTAAGTGATGGATATGGTTTCTAGGTCCAAGTTATGTGTTACAAGATTATTGTGCGTAATAATAAGCTTCTGAAACATGGACCTCAAAAGGCATTATTCACTGTGATGCACTAATTCCATATTTACAATCCAAGTTGAATTTTGAGGCATGAAGGATGTCTAATCATGTACCCTGGTGTTCTCTCTGGCTCTGCTGAGCACTACAGAGTGGGATATTTTTTGCATCTCTTACCCATAGTGCATTTGGTACATTGCCTAAAAACAACTTTGTAGACAAGACTGAGAAATCTATGATATCTAAAGCCCAACAAAATAAAATATTAAGTGGTCAGCTGGCACTTTTCCAGAAATAAAAATGTTAACATTTTCCTGGTTTGTTCCTAATTTAGCTCATCGACAGTAGTTTTTGCTCTTGACTATGACCCAGCTATGGTTACCGAGGCCGTGACTGTCGATCCAACCTGTATTTGCTCCCGACGGGGGAAACGGTTTACTTCATTGCATCTGTGGTTGTGCTGTATAATGTGGATGAGCAACTACAAAGACACTACACTGGACATACTGATGATATCAAGTGGTAAGACTTATATTTCTGTTCATGTGACGTCATCGTCTATTTGTTCACCGTAGCATACACTGATCTCAAACTCTGTAAGATCATCGAACCAGTACATTCAGTATCTTTTTGTCACCTCAAAACCGCCTTATCTAAAGAAGATACAGCAGCTTAAATTATTATTCAGATATTCTGCAGCATCATTTTTCAAAACTATGCTGAATACACGATTTCTGAGCAGTGTTGTTTAATTTTCTGCTTTGATGTGCAATTCTACAGAACATTTATCATTAGTCGTGTCACTGAAGTTCATTTTGCCTTTGTGTTACACCACATTAGTTTTGTGGGGGTATAAGAGACCTCAAGGACATTTTAAAAGTTTAGAATTATAGTTAATGCATTATCCTTTATGCATAAAATGTCAATAAATTAGTGACGTTATGCTTAACATTGAAGTTTCAGATTCCTATTTATTTATTTTCCTGTTTGAATATACTATTGACGTTTTAACTTTTGCTTAATAACACTATTTAATCTTCATGAAAATGTTATGTCTTTTAAATTAACACTTTTATTCAGTAAGGGTGCATTAAATTGATCAAATGTTACAGTAAAGAAATGTATAATGTTACAAAAGATTGCTATTTCAAATAAATGCTGTTCTTCATCAAAGAATCCTGAAAAAAATGATCACAAATGCACAACTGTTTTCAACATTGGTAATAATAAGAAATGTATTTTGAGCAGCAAATCAGCATATTAGAATGATTTCTGAAGGATCATGTGACACTGAAGACTGGAGTAATGATGCTGAAAATTCAGCTTTGCATCACAGAAATAAATGAGGTATTACAATATATTGAAATAGAAAACAGTTCTTTTAAATTGAAATAATAATTAACAATATTACTGTTTGTATTGTATTTTTGATTAAATAAATGCAGCCTAGGAGAGCATAAGAAATGTCTTTCAAACACATCAAAGAAATCGTACTTGCTTTTGAAACTTTTGAATAGTGAATATCAATGGCCCCAAACTTAAAAAGGTCAAGTCAGCAAAACACACTTAAAAAAAAGTCAAGCCACCAGAACATTAGACAAAGTATAATGACATTAATATATTTTCCTCTTGACCTCCAGTCTCCAGTTGAGACATAAACCTAAAGGTACAACACAACTGATCATGTATGACTGAGTGAAATCTCATATTTTGTTCATCTGTATAGGAATTTACAGAACGTCAAGGCTGTTCATTGTAAGTCAAAGGCCTTGAGCAAGAAAAGCATAAAGAGAAAACATTAACCAAGATGTTCATGATCAGTTTCCTGTGTTTATGATCAGTCCTGTGACTCATAATGCTCAAAGTCACAAGATAAGTCAAAGATAAGATGTGTTGTGACTGCACTGACTCACAGAGACAAAAATGTGCGATGTCTTCTCACTGCTGTGTCATCGGCTCTTCAACAGTCCCAGCTGCCTACATCTTTCACCTCTTTTGTCTTCCCCTACAGCCTCGCTGTCCATCCTGATAAAATCACCATAGCAACAGGACAAGTGGCTGGCACATCCTCAGATGGAAAAGTAAGATCAGTTATTTTAAACCGGTATCAATCATAAACATGAATAGTTGTACTATAGTTATACTATAGTTGGCTTGATCCAACCAAAATAAATCTGCTAATTATTGCATGTGCCGCAAGGGTCTGTCATAACAAATGTGGAGGATCAAGATCCCACATCCACATGCTTCAATTAGAAGTCGAATTGGTTTAACATGCTCAGTACATCTGTCTGTGTCTGGCAGCTTTTGGCTCCTCATGTGCGAGTGTGGGACTCTGTGAGTTTGAACACGTTGCACATCCTTGGAACCGGTTTCTTTGATCGAGCTCTGGTTTGCCTTTCCTTCTCAAAGTCGGTAAGAACAAGTCACTCTGTATTATGTTAGCAAACAAACGCTCTCATGTGAAACCACAAAATACAGCTTATAGTTCTTTGAATCATCAAACAAACCTGTCTTTATTATGAGTACTGGGTGGTAATTTCTGTAGCCTGGTCAGTTTAAAGGGATAGTTCACCCAAAAATGAAAATGTAGTCATCATTTACTCACCCTCTAGTTGTTCCAAACAGAAGATATATTAAAGAATGTTGGCAACCAAACAACATTGACCTGTATACTATGGGGAAAAAAAATACTGTGGAAGTCAACTGTTTGGTTACCAACAATCTTCAAAATATCTTCTTTTGTGTTCAGCAGAAAAAAGAAACTCTTACAGGTTAGGAACAACTTCAGGGTGAGTAAATAGGCGCGTTTCCATTACAGATTTGCGCAAAACTTTGGCGATATTTTATAAATGTCGATAAAAAAGTATTGCGAAATGACGGCGTTTCCATTAACCAATGTTATGAAACTTAAACGAAAAACCACCTCATGCGAGCGTAAAAACTTTTTTTCGATATATGGGCGTTTTTGCGAAATTGACGCGTTTCCATTAGGCGTATTTTCAATTCGCAATTTAAATTTGCGCAATTTGAAGGGTAATAGAAACGCGCCTACTGATGACTGAATTTTCCTTTTTGGGTGAACTGTCTCTTTAAATACATCTGTCAAAAGAGGTTGTGAGTGATCAAATTTGACATTTCAAACATTCAGAACGGAGGAAGCTGGTTGTGTGTTGTGGACGACTCCAATGACCACATTCTCTCTGTGTGGGACTGGCAGAGGGAGGAAAGACTTGCTGAAGTCAAGGTGAGTGCTATTCAGGATAGATATTGAACAGATATATTAGCAATGTCAACATTATGTCAACAAGAGGCGTGCAGAAATGAACTGATTCCCTTTTTTGTACTTCTTCATGACTTTTCTTTCTCTGCCCTCACAGTGCTCCAATGAGTCAGTCTTTGTTGCTGATTTCCACCCGACAGATGCTAATATAATGGTAACCTGTGGAAAGTCACACCTTTACTTCTGGTCATTAGAAAAGGGATCTCTTGTGAAAAAACAGGGTCTTTTTGAGGTAATCTGTCATAATCCTTTGTGGTCAAATTCAGTGAATCTTTTCACTTTTTTATTGAATCAAATTGCATGTCAGATATGGTGAAATGTGCATGTACATCATGTACACTAGCAGTTGAAGGTTTAGACGCATCTACTTATTCTTTATTATTACTGTTTTATACTTCTAAGAATAATAGTAGGGTCATCAAAACTATGAAATAACAAACGGAAGTATGTGAATTATATTGTGTAGTAATCAAAAATACAATTAAAACTATTTAGCTTCTGGTGCATAATGGATTTAACTAAAAAATAACTAGAATGTTACTTTTGTAAAGAAATGTATGCATTGTCATTTGTAGTTGGTTAGTTTTTTTTAATGTTTTTGAAAGAAGTCTCTTATGCTCACCAAGGCCGCATTTATTTGATTTAAAAATATAGTGAAAGCAGAAAAATTGTGAAATATTATTGCAATTTAAAATAGCTGTTTTTTTATTAAAAATATTTTATTATTTTTTATTATATTAATAGTTTAAAATATTCATTATAAAATGTAATTTATTCATGTAATGGCAAAGCTGAATTTTTTTAGCAGCCATTACTCCAGTCTTCAGTGTCATATTATTTCTTATTATTAATGTTGGACCAGTTGTACTGCTTAATATTTTTGTGAAAACCATGATGCATTTTATCAGGATTATCTGATGCATATAAAGTTCAAAAGAACAGCATTTATTTAAAGTAGACATTTTTTGTGACATTATAAATGTCTGCACTGTCAACTTTTGGTCAATTTAATACATCCTTGCTAAAGTATTAATTTCTTAAAAAAAAAAAAAAGTTTAAGCTTAAGCCTTTTAGATCCAAAGGCTCTCAAGTTCCTGAGAAACTTAAATTCAGTTAGATGTGCCCAAACATTTCACTGGTAGTGTAGTTGTGGACTATGAAAAACATGTAATCTCTGTCTTTTGTGTGATACATCTATTGCATTTCTGCTTTAAAAATAAAGTCATATTTATGTTTCTTGCAGAAACAAGAGAAGCCCAAGTTTGTATTGTGTGTGACTTTTTCAGAAAATGGCGAAGCCATCACTGGAGACTCGAGTGGAAATATACTTGTGTGGGGCAAAGGTAAAAGAATAAAAGGTTTATTATTATGGAGTTATTTATTGATTTATTTGAACATTTTGCGAAATTTTACCTCCATTGAATTGTGTAAAATATCTTCTTTATAAAATACAATTATGAATGATATTGATTGATATATGAATTATATAATAAGTATAGCTTTTTATTTCTCCTCTTTCCTATTACTTGTTTCACTTCTGTTTCAGTTTTTATAACCATTTCTTACTATGTGTAAGTAAGTTGTTGTTTTTTAGCATGTAAGTTTGGCAGTGTTATTTTTTAGGATTACTGATAAACTACTGTCGTTTGATTGTCATTTTTATTTAATTTCTTTATTTTTAAAATGGGTATAAGTAGTATTTATAAAGTTTTAGCTTTTAGTTTTGGATCTGTTTTTAGTTGTTTTAATACTACAATTGATTGCTTCTGTCGTCCTCATTTGTAAGTCGATTTGGATAATAGCGTCTGCTAAATGACTAAATAAATAAATGAATGTTGTACAGCATAACAGCTGTGTGTTATCTAAGGTTGACCCTGCTGCCAACAAAAGATTCTTTATTAGTGATAATAAAAGAGAGATTGTGCTCCATTTTTACACAAATCAATAAGAATCTTCATGTAGCCTGTGAACACCTTTGATTGTCTGATATACTGATGATGATGGTTTCCATTTTTGTAACAGTCGGTTTATATAATGCATGTTTTCTGGTCATGGTTCACAGGATCTAATCGTATTAGCTTAGCCATTCAGGGAGCACATGAGGCAAGCGTCTTTGCACTTTGCATGTTGAGAAATGGGACGCTGGTCTCAGGCGGGAAGGACCGTAAACTCATCTCCTGGGACGAAAATTTTCAAAAGATTCAAACGGTGGAGGTAAGGCATCTACATAGGTATCATTTTGCAGTATGCAGTATGCATTTGCATGCTTGAATAGTAGTACCGATCAAGCAGGCAACCATAATTTACCAGCTGTTTTGTATGTTACTCTCAGGTGCCTGAGTTATGTGGCCCTATTCGGACTGTGGCTGAAGGACGGGGAGAAACGGTTCTTATTGGCACTACCAAAAACTATGTCCTGCAAGGCAATCTGGATGGGGAGTTCATACCCATCACCCAGGTAAATTAACCAGTGTAGGTACAATCCTTCATGAGTAACCAGTGTTTTCTGTGGCCCGCCAGGTGTGTTGAGAAGATACTGTATATAATATACATAACATATGGAATTATTAACTTGTTCAATTATAGCATAATTATTAAGTAATTTCTAATTTCAGTACAGAATTTCTCTGTACTGTTTGATATTGGATATAAATTGGATATTGGATATTGATTATGCTCATTTCTCATTATTTTAACATTTCGATGAGACCTTTCTTATCATCTAGAGTTAATCTTTAATCTTTACAATTGATTTATTATAGAATAATAATTATAATTTATACTAAAACAATGCTAATTTAAATATTTTAGTATATAATATTTAGTATATAATGAATATTTTATATAAAATATTTAATAATATATTAAATATATAAATAATTCTTTAATTAGTCTATTTAATACATTTTTTAAATATGTAAATAAATAAATGTTAAATCTTTAGGATATCTTTAGGATATCCATTTTTAATAATGAACATTTTAATTTAAATTTTATGTTTTCTATGTTATCATCTAACACTCAGAGTTAATCTTTACAATTGATTTATTATAGAATAATAATTATAATTTATACTAAAACAATGCTAATTTAAATATTTTAGTATATAATATTTAGTATATAATGAATATTTTATATAAAATATTTAATAATATATTAAATATATAAATAATTCTTTAATTAGTCTATTTAATACATTTTTTAAATATGTAAATAAATAAATGTTAAATCTTTAGGATATCTTTAGGATATCCATTTTTAATAATGAACATTTTAATTTAAATTTTATGTTTTCTATGTTACATTTTTTCATTAAATGTAGTTTTTTTTTAAATTATATATTAAATGTTTTAATTAAATTATTTACAAAGTAATTATTAGAGAAGAACTGATCTGTATTGGTCAATACTGGGTATATATTTTATATTTATTATGGTCCTTTCTCCCTGTTTTTACATTTACACTAACGTAAAATGAATCTTTAAAAACAAACATTATTGAAATATTTTCTATAAAAAATTTTAAATTATAAATAATTGAATAACACTTAAATATTTAGCAAATCTCAAAATGAACATCCATTTTCATACTGTACATTATAAGGTTGTGATGCCTAAATTCACTTGTAGCATTTAAAACATCCATTTTTTGTGGGTATTAAATAAAATAGCATGAAATAATTATTACCTTATCAGTATCGGCCAGAATATTAATATTAGTAGTGTAAGTTAATGTGTCTCTGGCCCTCTAAATGTTGAAAATGTTTGTTGTAGAACAAAGTTTATTCCCTTCTATGTTGAAACAAAATGAATCCTTTTTAGGGTAAAAGGGTAATTCAGTTTGTGGTTCTAAAACAGAATGCATTTGATGTTTTAAACTTTCTTTGAAACTTCAATTCAAACCAAATTGATGCCACCCACACTGCTATTTAAGTCTGTTGACTGTTTGATCGTCAGAGCCACACAGATGAGTTATGGGGCCTGACTGTACATCCGCTGAAGCATCAGTTCCTCACCTGTGGCCATGACAAGCACGTCTGCCTGTGGGACTCTGCCTCTCATCAGCCCATCTGGACCAAAACATTGGAGGTGAGCAGCCCGCCTCGGTAGGATTCACTTACATTACCGTAGTGTCATCTCACAGCTCACACATCAGTTTCTTGTTATTGAAACCCTTGTCACTACTGCAACTGTAATGAAATGAGCTCTGCTGTTCCTTGGGCTGAGATGTAACCGTATTTGTGCTGACAGGATGTTTGATTGAGCATGAATGTGTTTCCCTCACGGACAGGACGCCGCGCAGTCGGCCGGCTTCCACCCTTCTGGAGCGACAGTTGCTATAGGAACGCAGACGGGCAGGTGAGGCGATTCCTTTTCATCAACGGGGTCCCTGACACATCATTACAATTCAGAAAAGGGGTCTAATAGAGTGTTACATGGAAGACCCCAACACTTATTATTATGCTAATGCGAACACAGGAACACAATACCCTCCCAGTGGCATTGTTCAGCAGTCTTTGATTTCTTTTTCTTCACTAAGAATCCTGATAATGGCTTTGGATGAAGAGTCTTAACGTTCGTTCTGTTTCAGGTTTCTTTAGACCTGTGCGTTTAATATTGTCCTTTCACTCATTCTCAATCTGTGCAGGTGGCTTGTGCTCGATACCGAATCGAAGGATCTTGTCACGGTGCACACGGACGGGAACGAACAGCTGTCGGTTATGCGCTTTTCTCCAGGTTAGAGTTAATTCTCCCAGCAGCCTTTTCACTGCTTGCTGGGAAAACATTAGGATGTTAGCCAAAAACTAGCACTCATTAAAGTCTCTGCAATTGATTAAGTTGAAAACCCTCGGTTATTCTTTCCAGATGGTCATTTCCTTGCGATCGGGTCACATGACAACTACGTCTACATTTATGCTGTGGCAGAAAATGGAAAGAAATACAGTAGAGTTGGAAAGTGCTCAGTGAGTAATGTGTGTTTATGAAAAAAAGATATGACTTATTTGTATAACAAATGTGTAATAGATTATCATAGACCACACATGAGATAATAGATTAGCTGATTCTACCCGTGTTTTTTTTTTAGTATTTATATACCAATACGGTATTTATTAATATCTTGAAATGGCTTTTATTTTTATATTTTCAGTTTTACTTTTTTTATTTATATTTCAGCTTTTTATTTATTAATGTAAATGATTTTCAATAGTTTTAGTTAACAATAAACACTGCCACATTATTTTTTCTTTTCATATAGACACAAACACACATCTGTCTCCTCAAATGAATGTTGTTTTTTATATTTGTATCCACTGTCTGTTATTGCTCACAGGGTCATTCTAGTTTCATCACCCATCTGGATTGGTCTGTGGATTCTCAGTGAGTAATGTGTGTTTATGAAAAAAAGATATGACTTATTTGTATAACAAATGTGTAATAGATTATCATAGACCACACATGAGATAATAGATTAGCTGATTCTACCCGTGTTTTTTTTTTAGTATTCATATACCAATACGGTATTTATTAATATCTTGAAATGGCTTTTATTTTTATATTTTCAGTTTTACTTTTTTAATTTATATTTCAGCTTTTTATTTATTAATGTAAATGATTTTCAATAGTTTTAGTTAACAATAAACACTGCCACATTATTTTTTCTTTTCATATAGACACAAACACACATCTGTCTCCTCAAATGAATGTTGTTTTTTATATTTGTATCCACTGTCTGTTATTGCTCACAGGGTCATTCTAGTTTCATCACCCATCTGGATTGGTCTGTGGATTCTCAGTACTTGGTATCCAACTCAGGGGACTATGAGATCCTTTACTGTGAGTATCTATAAGTATCTTTACTGTGAAAGCAGAGTGAAATAGACAGTTGCACTGACAGTTCATTTGTAATTCAATCAGTGCAAGTATGGCTACATTTAATACGTGATGTACTGAATAAGGATTTTTACAAAACCTTTTTACTCAAAATTTCTATCCTATGAAATATTATAGTGTAGAAAAATGTGTATTTGTTATAAAAATATAAAACGCTATATGAAAGTGTTATAAAAATGCCCTTTTAAGACTTTATTACATATTTTTCCAGGTCTATAAATTGCACTTATAAAATCAAGCATCCTCATATATCCATGTTTTCCAAGACTGTGGGAACCCTGGTTCTTCAAAGAAAAAAAAAACTTGTTGAGGAGTGAATTAAAACAAGTGATATCATTGGCCTTAGCTTATTTTAATGATATTTTTCTCATTTTTAAAAATTTCAGGTCATCTTGAGGCCCCCTAGTGTTTGAGAACCACTGAGTTAAATCGATCTGTTTATACTATAAATTAATTAACTGATACACATTATTGTCTTTCAGGGATTCCTTCTGTGTGCAAGCAAGTAGTGAGTGTGGAGACCACCCGGGATATTGAATGGGCCTCTTTCACCTGTACTCTGGGCTTCCATGTTTTTGGTAAGGTTAATGTTTTATGTCATGGATCGCAGTGTAAAATAATAATAATTCTTTAAAACCAGCTTTATTTGTAATGATAGTAAACAAATATAGCTAAATTGAACAAATCAGAGTCTTCCCCATGTATCCATAGCTGCATAAGAGCGTTAGTTTTGTAGCGTTGTCTTTTATGAATGTAAGTGTACAGCCATAAATCCATAAGGAAATGATATACAGTATATTCTGTTTGTGTTACTCTCCAGGACTGTGGCCGGATGGCTCAGATGGTACTGATATCAATGCTGTGTGCAGTTCAAATGCAAAGAGGCTGCTTGTCACCGGAGACGACTTTGGCGAAGTTCACCTCTTCTCATTCCCTTGCTCTCAGTCCCGAGTAAGAACCAGCACTAAATCTAAAATATCAGAGAGGTAGTGTTCATTTTAGTACCAAATAATGCTAATATATGGTATTATTTCTCTCTATCCACCTCTGCAGGCTCCTAGTCACATCTACGGTGGACACAGCAGCCACGTCACCAATGTTAACTTCTTACATGATGACAGCCACTTAATCTCTACAGGAGGGAAGGACATGAGCGTAATGCAGTGGCGTGTGGTGTAAAACGACCACTGTCACACTGAACTTCCTTATTTTTCTAGGATCAAGTGGCTTGGGAAAGCATAAGTGGGGCCATCGACTACAGAGTAAAGTGGAGTCTCAGTTTTATTTGCCTTTAAATTGATCTCAGGACACCAATATTTGAAGTGACTCTCTGTTTTGACTGTCTCGCACGTTTCCTAGGCTATGAAAGAGATGCTTTGTGATATAAACCCATCTCTGTAGCTTTGAATAACAAACTAAAGAATCTGCTCTACAGGACAAAGTTAAATGTGATGCCAAAGCACATTGGGAATGAATAGTCCAGTCCAGTTTATATTAGACCAATATATGTGCTCAAAGCACTGACCAATCATAACACTGTCGTAACTTCTGAGGTATCATTTAGAGTCTTAAAAATACCATCAGATGATTGATAAATAGCACGTTAACCATCATTTTGTACTAAAATTTGCCTCCATAATGATCTTTTATTAACTTTTGCTGCCACCGTATGGTACGTTGCGGTATTGCAGCCACCTTCCCACCGCTGAATTTATTATATCCTCTGCTGTAGTCAAATACTTACGGTGTTTCATGGATTTAAACTGTAATAGAAGTACAAAAATATTCAATCAGCCATCAAAATCCTCTCAAGGACGAAAAATAGCATGATTTTGGGAAACAAAGTGACTGTACTGCAAAATGATCAAGGCCTTCACTGACGTTCACTTGCTAAATCACTACAGCCATCAATCACTGATTTAGTTTAATCCTCAGTCTGACATCAAATCTGTTTTGTGCATCAACTAGCTTAACTAAACGCCATCATGTAGTGCACATTTACATTAGAGTTAAGCTCCATTTTCATAACCTCCGCTTGAGAAACATGATTGAACAGTTACAGTCAAATGACTGTAGTATTAATAATAAAACTAAGCATGCACAAGCTTGTTTAACTGTCTAATCTATTTTTCCATATTCATTGTCGGATATATGGCATAGCCATAAAAATAAAGGAAAACATGTTAGTTCTTCTGTGAAATATGAGAAAGCTTTGTTTTTGACCAAATAGGTTTGTTGGATCACGGTTGGAGTGATATTTTGAAGGATAATGTCTACAACCACATGACAATATTACGTTATATGAATGTATAATAAAATGGGGAAAATCAGTCCTTTCACCTTAGAAAAATGTTTTGTAATAATGTGTCAGAAAAAAAAAATAATAATAAAAATTCAGGAACAACCACACAAATGGAACAAGAGGGTCTGAAAGTCATATTGAAAACACATGTTGTTTCTCCAAACCCTTTACACTCTACGAAAATCAGTCCTTTCACCTTAGAAAAATGTTTTGTAATAATGTGTCAGAAAAAAATAATAATAATAAAAATTCAGGAACAACCACACAAATGGAACAAGAGGGTCTGAAAGTCATATTGAAAACACATGTTGTTTCTCCAAACCCTTTACACTCTACACTGTCATGCCCTGGCCAGCAGCAGACGTAGCCTAGTCATAAACATCATTTTATCATCAAACAAAAGTAATTTGTTTATACCTGTTTATACAACAGAACCAAATGAGCATGAATAACAGGAAGAGGAGGAATAACTGTAACCCAATGAGGCAGGGCTCAGAGGAAGTTGCAATGCGGCATTTTGGCCACCAGCGGTCGCTGTTCTGCGCGTTTGTTTTTACACTATTCCCAATAAGCTCCTTTCTCAAATTTTATCATCAAACAAAAGTAATTTGTTTATACAACAGAACCAAATGAGCATGAATAACAGGAAGAGGAGGAATAACTGTAACCCAATGAGGCAGGGCTCAGAGGAAGTTGCAATGCGGCATTTTGGCCACCAGCGGTCGCTGTTCTGCGCGTTTGTTTTTACACTATTCCCAATAAGCTCCTTTCTCATTGTCATAACACGGTGGAGGAAAATGGCAACTCCAGTGCACGTTTGCAGCCCGCAATTCAGATCGATGTTGTAGGCGCGACCATGAGCTAAACATGGGATATGTTTTATTCCGCTGTGGTGACAGAGAGCGATATGCTGTAGATCTTTCGAGACATCTGCATTGCTTCTGATCCAAGGTCTGGCTGTGCATCGCTGGATGAGCATATACATTCAAGCTGACCATTGTTTTATGGAATAGTACACGTGTTGTATTTATACTCATTAAAATACATATTTATGCGCTGATAGCTTTACATACAGCGGCTCGCCTCTGTGGCTTTGCTAAGTTTCTTTTTTCACGTTTTGAATTATTTATTGCATCCATATATTCGTGGGGATATCATCAGAAAATGAGGTAAGCAGCCCAATGTGTTGACACCGCATGTAAATATTATTTTATACATGAAAATGCATTGGTGTATATACATATATCTATTGCTATATACATTTATGTATTATATAGCGCTTGACACTGTGTGTGAAACCTTGTGAGCTCCCTACCCAGACAGCTATTTGGGTGTCCTGTTAGCAATGGGGATTTTGATTCTTTTCAGTGATTTGAATCTTTTTTAATCAGTTCATGAAAAAGATTCGTTCACTCATTCGTTTATAGTGACTCTTTTTGGAGGGTTCACCGTTACGCCAGTAGGAGGCGACAAGCGAAGGGCCTTTCAATGTGTTATGCAAATCATGAAATCATTTACTTAACCAATGCGTTTTTAAAAAAGCATGTTCGAGATTAAAATAAGTCTTGTTAGCCTTTTACCATTTGTAGGCTACAAATCTGCCAGTTAAGTCTCTAGAAATAGTGTTTACATCAAGAGTGACCATAACTGTTTTTTTTTTAATGAGCTGCAGTTATTTCGTTTTCCGCTTTTAATTCTTTTAATTAAACTAAAGGCAGTTGGAAAAATAGTTTTGAAAGTGTTTCTAACCATATCGTTCCTCTATGTCATTATCGTTATAGATGTGGTGTGGAGTAATAACGGTAGCTATTTGGTGTGAATGTGGCTTCATCGTAAGTGTTTTCCTGACAAATAAAAATAAAGCAGATCTATCCTCGGTCTTTAAACTAAAGGCAGTTGGAAAAATAGTTTTGAAAGTGTTTCTAACCATATCGTTCCTCTATGTCATTATCGTTATAGATGTGGTGTGGAGTAATAACGGTAGCTATTTGGTGTGAATGTGGCTTCATCGTAAGTGTTTTCCTGACAAATAAAAATAAAGCAGATCTATCTGTCAGCCGATCCTACAAACAACATATCTCAGTTCATTCAGTTCTTATACGAGATGTCAAGTTTAGATTCAAGTGACTAATTTAATGAAGAAATGTTCCTATTCCTTCAGAAAGTCCAAACAATTAAATGCTAATTTACAGCCGGCACTCGAATGCTATTTGCTCCGGCTATAGTGCCATTTGAAAATATGAATCAGTTATGTATGGATATGAAGAGTGATTCGTAAACTTAAAAGATTCATTTGAATCATTGATTCATTCACTAACGATCCTTAGGACACGCCTAGAAATGGATCCCCAGAATGCTTTCTGAGTAGTCAGCTCATAGAATTTGGCACGCAGCCACTGAAAGCTCGAGCTGAGGTCTTTTATGAGTGAGCAGATTCTTCACCTGTTTTCTGTTCTGCTGACGCCAGCGGATAGAGATGTTTGGGTGTGTATTAACGCTTATTCCGTGCCGAGATGCAGAGCATTATTGATGCCGGTGGCCATGACAAGTTTAACTAAACTGTCCGCGGGAATTAACGTGGCCACACACAGTATTTTATTTCAGTAACAAAGTGAATGGAGCAGAACACGCAAATGACCCGTGCAGTGACTGGGTGTGTTCAGAGTCAACCTGGTAATGACGAAAACGATTATTGTATGCTTAGTTGTGGTTTGGCAACAAATAAATTTTCTGTATCTCAAATGCAAATCACAGTTACAGCGAGCACGACACTTATCACTTCGCAACTGCAATTCTCAAAGTGAAGAAAATGTAAATAAAATAAAAAAATTACCATCAGGTTTACGGTTATAATTTTAGTTATTAATAAAATGCATTGTGCTGATCGTTGATTGCCTTATGGAATTAATAAAAACTATTTCTTTTTATAATTAGACATAATTATGGTGAGAATTGTTCAGTAAAATAATTTTCACAGAGATTTCACACAATGTTTACATATGTAATTTAATCCCTTATTAAGACATTTTGAATTACTAACTTGTGTACATATAGGCTATTAAATATTTCGAGATCCATAAGTGTATAGAGAGTATATCAACATCAACATGCACATAAGTTTGTGCATTTATTCCAGCCTCACTGAAGTCTTCTGCATGTGTCCACTTTCGCTTTCCTTTATTCTCTCTCTGTCTGGACTATAAAGGAAGTCTTAAAATTGTACTGGCCCCGGTTGCATTCTTGCCAACAGGAAACTGAGGAACTGGTTCAGTGGAATGATTTATTCAACCCTTGACTCTCTGAGCAGAAGTCTTTACTTCACAATGTAGGCTATTTTTAGCAGTAGTGCTCCAATATGGTAAGGTTAAAGCATTCACTCCCATGTTGGCAGGAAGCAGTGAGTTTATGAAATGAGCTGTTTATACAATAGGTATGAGATCAGTTGATTAGGTGAATCGTACAGCCACTGAGACACATTGATTGTGTAGGTTTACGTGTGTATGAGTTCATGTGTGTCAACAGTATATAGAAGATCCTGCTTTTGTGTAAACATCTGAATGTAACACATGCCAGTTGTCTCTTCAGGTTGAAACACTTCTGTCAGACTTGCTAGTTGTCAGTAATGCTTAATTTGTTCTCTGTAATCTGTGACGATATTTTGTCATTTTTTGACTTGCCGAGCTAAAGCAAATGTATTTTCTCGTAGCAGTTCCTCTTGCGTAATTTACTGAGACCCTAAAGATGTATCAAATCCAGCTGTCATGATTCACTCGTTTTCCATGAACCAAGAGCCTCATCTGTCAGCACAAACAAATTTTTACTACAGCGTGGCACTACATTTTATTGAGCCACAGTATATATGTAATTCTTAAAAGTGTCATTATCAGCTTATGAAATATTTGGTATCTGCAAAAATAAATGCTGTTTTTAGAGTATGTAAATCCTGGAGGTTTTTAGAGTACGAGCACAGCCTCTAGACGAGAAGTTAAAACAATCACTCGCTCCTTGTTGAGGTTTTGTTACCATGCAACCATTGTAGACAGATCAACGAAAAATAAATCTCATGTACACAGCTTTTTTTATTTGATAAAAAAATAAACAAAAAACAAGATATTGTGGTCATGAATTAAGAACTTGATTCCTTAGTTTTCACTGAATTGTGGCCACAATTAAAGTAGATTGAAACAGGTAAAACTAAAACAAGGGAACAAATGATATGAATCAAACATGACCACAATTTAAACAAAACTTGGTAACTAATTAATAAAACATGGCCACACACGCACACACACACACACACACTCACTCACTCACTCACTCACACACACACACACACACACACACACACACACAAACACACACACACACACAGAGTCGTGGGAAGTGGGAACAAATTCTTAATTGGTGGGCATAATATCTTTTTATTTTTTGCATGTGATGTACGGGCTCTATGCTTAAATAGTCGGTTGTTGTTATGTATCGGTTAATATAAACTCACAGAGTTATTAGTTAGAATCATTTTAATGAATCTTTAATAAATAAAATCATTTAAATAAATAAAAATAATTTAAATTTTACCATGGTATATGTACTAAACCCACTTTGGACCACATGAAATGTTTTAAATGTGGGTGTTCATATAACAATTTTAGGTTTAGTTACACACACACACACACACACACACACACACACAAAATCACTAAACTGAGTGATTTAACCTAAACAAGACAAATATCTTTTCTTCCAGTGAATACCAGCAGCCTTCTTGTTTGTTCTGGAAAGCTGAATGAATGAGCATATGTGTGCGTCTTAAGGATCATGTGGCTCTTTTTCGGCTGTATTTCTTTTGTAGAGAGAGACTCCTTTAAGGCACAGACCGCCTTCCAATCCTTTGAGTGGATAAGAATGGATGTGAGCAGGACAAGGTGACTGGTCCTTATCTGTCACATGCTTCGCTTGCTCTCTCTCGCTCTCATTCTCTCGTTTTCTTCTCCTACCCTCCTTCACCCTTTTCTCTCTCTCACACACTCCCTGTTCTTGCATTATTGTATCTCGGAAATGAGAGTGCTCTGTGTTTTACCTAGCTGAGAGGATGAGGGAT